TTTTAGTAGAGACAGGGTTTCACCATTTTGGCCAGGCTGGTCTCAAAATCCCGACCTCAAATGATCCACCTGCCTCCGCCTCTCTGAGTGCTGGAATTCCAGGCATGAGCCACAGTGCCGGGCCTAGGCCTGAGAATTTCTCTGTGGCCAGTTTTTACACTGAAATCAGGGGGAAAGTGAGAGCTTGTAGGCTTTATGGCTGGCTTTGGGGAAAAGGGGTTTTGGTTTCTATGAGCCGCCTTGCGGAGGAGGGATTCTCGTGTCTCCGTCCATCCCTGTTGGGGGAGAACCGGCCTCAGAGACAGGAGGGCAGGAGAAGTCTAGACCATCACTTTTTTCATTTTGGGGTGTTATCTTCTGAGTTCCAGCAGGCTGCATTTGAGGTCACTCAGCTAGTAAGTAGTAAAGACAAAATTAGAAGCCTGGTCTCTTCCTTCCACCGAGGGGCCTGGCTACCTTGAAGCTCTCTGCCATGAGTAGTAACTATGATCCTGTCTGCCATGCCAGTGCCATCGGATGGCACGCCTTTCCTCTCTTGGCCTCCTGCTCCAGGATCCAGCACTGAGCACTGTCAGGAGAGTCTTGGGCCATCCCTCAAGTCCTTTTGCCCTGAGCAGGAGGAGGGGAGCTGGGGCAGCACCCGTGATCCCTGGGCCTGCCCTGACAGCCCCACTCTGCCAGCCTTGCCTTGGAGGGGCTAAAGTTCCTGGTGTGGCAGGAGGGAGAGGGTAGCCTTACTGGCCAACAGCACTGACCTTTGCCTTCATGTGCCCAGTCGCTTCGCTGCTCCACTAGGCTCTGAGGGCACAAAGCCCTGAGATAGTGTCCAAGCCCAGGGCCCTGTAGACTCTGTGGATCCCGAGACCAGCGCCAGCCATTCTGCCGCACTGGGGACAGACAGAGCAGGTAAGGAGGGAAAGAAGGCAGGAGCGGGCAGGGGCAGCATGGAGTCAGCACAAGACAAGGCCCAAGATCAGAGATTTAGGCACGGCCGGGACTAGCTTAGAAAAGGTACTGCCAGCCGGGCGTGGTGGCTCATGCCTGTAATCCCAGCACTTTGAGAGACTGAGGTGGGTGGATCACGAAGTCAGGAGCTCAAGACCAGCCTAGCCAACATGGTGAAAACCTGTCTCTACTAAAAATACAAAAATTAGCCAGGCGTGATGGTAGGCATCTGTAATCCCAGCTACTTGGGAGGTTGAGGCAGGAGAATCTCCTGAACCTGGGAGGCAGAGGTTGCAGAGAGCTGAGACCGTGCCACTGCACTCCAGCCTGGGCAACAGAGCAAGACTCCATCTCAAAAAAAGAGAAAAAAAAGAAAGAAAGAAAGAAAAGAAAAGGTACTGTCTAAAACCTTTAAGAGGAGAGACACAAACTTCACAGCCAGACAGGGGAGCGGGGAGCAAAACAAAGAGGAGGAGAGAGGAACAAAAAGGAAACGGCTGAGAACGATGGAAACACAGTTAGATGGAGAAAGAACGGACAGGCCGGGCGCGGTGGCTCAAGCCTGTAATCCCAGCACTTTGGGAGGCCGAGGCGGGTGGATCACGAGGTCAAGAGATCGAGACCATCCTGGTCAACACGGTGAAACCCCGTCTC